GTCATCAGGTGTTAACTGACAAGGGAACAAAGAACACTTATTCTTCTGATTATATTCTAAATTAGTTTTTATAACTCTGATCTGATCTAATAGTTAAATTCCTTCTGTGGAAGAAAAGTTCCTTCTGTCTCCAACTGGGCAATTCCCCGCCCTTTCTGTTTTCCTCCACTGAGATTCCTACTCATAGTTTGTCCTACATTATTTTCTAATGTAGAAAATATCTAGTATAAATGAAAGTTAACAATGTAGATTTGTGGGACTATTAAATGAACACATAATGAGTTGTGGGGTACATACAGAAAAAACAAAAACAATAAAGGAAAACTATATATATGAATGAATGCACAGTAATATGATGTAAAACCAAAAAGTAAAGGACCCTTCCCACCCCTTCTGGCATATAGGGCTAGACCTATAATTTATAGACTAGTCGGAACTCTGAGCATAATGTGGTCAGCATCACTCTGACCATCTTTACTTTCCAGGACTTGTACCTGGTACCCATTTAAGACTGGGTCAGCCTGGTGGCCAAGATATGTTTTGACAAAAGTCTGGCACCATCAGGATCTGAACCCATGATCTTCCGATCCACAGGCGAGCATGTTATATAATATTAATAAATACCTTACCCCCAGATGGTGTCACAGGACAGTCCAGACATTTGAGAGGGTGGTAAGACTGGGTTTCCCAGCTTTCTGATGCTTTGAACAACCCCAAAACATCTAGGGAATTGGCCATAACCCACCTAGGCCTTACGAGAGAGTGCAGCCTAGGTCTGACGAATGCATGCAGTCTAGGTCCCAAGACTGCTTGCAGCCTATCTACCCCCCCCCCCCATAAAATATTAGACTGTCCCGTGACCTGTGGATTTTCCCTGTTTGGGTTAGGATATTAATAAAGCACCTAATGTTCTTTACATACACAGAGGAGTGGCTGCTTCAGCAGTTAAGAATACTGGGCTCTCCTTTGGGAGATCAATGTTTAAATTCAATGTATGATAATCAGATTTTTGTTTCAGTGGAGGTGGGGGAGAGAGTGGGGCTAAATAAACATTCTAACACATAAAGTTCATGGTAACTGCGTTAGACAAGTAGCTTTACATCTTCAGGTTTAATACCCTCCACCCTCCAAAACCACACTAAAAATGGCACATACAAGCAGTAAAGGCAGGCATTCTTTTTTGCACATACATGTAGATAAAAATAACTGAAGCACGCTGAGGCAATGGCACACATGCACAAAAAGTAGCTTGTATCATTTCAAGAGGGATCTCTGAACCATTTCGGGTTTAACACATTAGTAAATAAATATATGTACACATAACGGAGCCCTAAATGTTGACAAGCTGTCATGATATGTTAGCTGATTTAGTCTAAAAATAGTCTGACGTATCAACACGTAAAATCAAAACACAGTATTTGCAATTAAAAAAATCTTGAGTATGATAATAAATAAATAATGGTCACAGAGAGAAGATAGATTATCTCTTCCCATCTCAGTTTTCTTGTACCATGCTGGTTCCCTTGTAGTGATGAAATCAGGGGTGACTGCCATCAAATTAGTAAATGAAAAAAAAAAGTATTAACAAACTATGATGTGGAAGATGAATACGGAGGGAAGGATAAAACACACAGAAAATAATTAATCAACGAACACCACAGAAACTTCTTCTTCATGTTGTGTGTGTGTAGGCAGCCAGTTAATTAATCAATCAATGCTTTGCAGGAAAAAATGTGCCACCTTCAACCAGCATTCACCAAGGGGGAGCTTTAGGTTATAATTGTGAGTAATCTATGTGCCCCATATAAAATTGCTGAGCATTGCATGCTTCAAGAGTCCTGAAAAGGACTCCTGCAGTGTTAATGCCATCAAAGGAGACAGACCCAAATACTGTCCTGATCGGAGATAAAGACATCTACTGGCGAGCCAATGGGTGACCTTGTCCCTGATGTGTGCAGCCGTTTGTCCCTAGGGATCATGAAGTTGTGCAGCCTTTTGCCCCTAGGGTTCATGAAGTTGTGCAGCCTTTTGCCCCTAGGGTTCATGAAGTTGTGCAGCCTTTTGTCCCTAGGGATCATGAAGTTGTGCAGCCGTTTGTCCCTAGGGATCATGAAGTTGTGCAGCCGTTTGTCTCTAGGGATCATGAAGTTGTGCAGCCGTTTGTCCCTAGGGATCATGGAGTTGGGCTGCTGGTTTTGGAGACCTCCCCAGAGCACATCCTGGGCATGTTGAAGTGAAGTACATGCTGTTTCCCAGGAGCAGGTACCATGTCTCTCAGTCACCGGTAATGCTAAGGGAAAGGCAAGTGCCAGTACAGCTTGACACTGAAGATATGGCAGGAATTTCTGGAGAAGCAGTGTAAACACTGCTGAATCCCCTTTGCGTGTTGTGGTGCTCGTTGATAAAGCTTTGGTAAAAACACTGTTTCTGTGTGGGTGTCCTTCCATAAACATTGGGCTTTCTAGTAACAATTCAGTAAATTCATTTTTATTTTTAGATAATTTGGTACATTGTAGATGTTTAGATGAAATATAAACCGCTTAAGAGTACAAGTTTGTGTACTTCAGTTATGGGAACTCCTAGAAACTCATATTCCCTGTTTCCATTGTTTGATTGCCTGCCTTTTGATTCTCACTTGATTTCTACATTACTGCTTGTTTTGGTACACTATTTTCAGGCAGTTGATTAATGGCTGAATCAGTTCACTTGTTCCATTCTAATGAAATTTAATGCTGCTATAACTTCCACTTTCTTTTGAATTCTGTTATATGTCAAAAGGTTATTTAATACATTCTTGAAACAACATTGCAGAAAAAAGAAGAAAATTAACTGAAAAAGTCTACTGCAGAACGGATAATGGCTGAACGAGTTCATATTTTCCATTCAAATAAAATCGAATGCTGCCAGTAAACCCTTCCCCTGCTTTCAAATTTCATTTTAGGTCAATAGTTGACATTAATTTTAAAAAACAAACAGCAGAAAATAGACAAGGACAAAAATTCACAGATAAATAGTCTGTTTTGACCATAATTATATAGACCTATCAACACTAAATGGGTTATTTGGTCCATATCAAGCAGGCATAAATGTATGTATGTAATAAGGCCGTGTATCCGTGCCTTCATGTGTACTGGGCCTCAATTGTTAGGACAATATTTTTTATAAACCAATCATGTCCAGATTACCACAAATGCAACCTTTACTTTCTCAGGCATTTCCTGGCCACCAGATAGGCATGCTAGCTACTGCACTACTTGTGTGTGTGTGTGTGTGTGGGTACCTTTCCATATTCCCAGACAAAAGTGTTGTAAAACATGTGAGTGAAGGGAATGGTGAGACCATTTAAGGCCAGATATAAAGTGCTTCCTCTCCTCTGCCTGGGCTGTATTGTAGAGACCATGTGTTGCCCATGCAACATGATCCCTCTCTCAGACTGCTTTGTTAGCTCTCAAGGAAAGGTAACACCGCACTACTGCAGCTCCAGAACATATACATTTCTCATGTGACCATTAATTAGTATAGTATAATTAGAGTATAGGAATAATTTACTGCAGTATATACAAAACACTTATTTCTGTAATTCTCAGATACGTATTCACATAAACAACAGATAAATATTTATATATACAATACATAAATATTTATATATACAATACGTAAATATTTATTTATACAACAAAAAAGTATGTATATATACACCAAATATATATTTATATATACAGCAAAATAAATAAAGATTTATATGATATAGATATAATATATATTGTACAATAGTTTTTTTGTTTCTTTCCGTGTATCACAAGTTGAGATTATTCATAACAAGAGATGTTTGGTTACATCTGGTAGAAGTCAACACTGAAACTTAAGAAATGTGACAGCTTCTCTACTCTGTCAGAATTGAGATGTTTCATAACAGGATGAAAATAGCAGTTAAATTCTTTCCTTGTTCATTCTCTCTCTCTCTCTCTTTTTTCTCTCTACCTCTCAACTGTCCTCTCAACTGTCCTCTCAACAACTGTCCTCTCAACAACTGTCCTCTCAACAACTGCCCTCTCAACTGTCCTCTCAACAACTGTCCTCTCAACTGTCTTTCCAACTGTCCTCTCAACTGGGATGATTTCATGACAGGGTGGATAATAACATTGATGCAGCAAAATGACAGTCTCCTTTATTATCTCTCCCTGTCTCTTTCTCTCTTACTCTCTCTCAACTTGGAGGATTTCATGACAGGACTGAAGATACATGGTTGCAGCAAAATGATACAAGCTCCTTTATTTTCTCTCTATGTCTCTTTCTCTCATTTTTCTCTCACTATCTCTCAGCTTGAATGATTTCATGACAGGACTGAGGACAAACAGCAGTGACATGTAACAGTGTATTTAGCAGTAATATATAAGTTCCTTTTCTTCTACTCTGTTTCTTTCTCTAAGCTTGAAGGATTTCATGATAGGACTGAAGACAAACAGCAATGTCATGTAACAGTGTATATAGCAGTAATATATAAGTTCCTTTTCTCCTGCTCTCTTTTTTTCTCTAAGCTTGGAGGGTTTCATGACAGGATTTATAACAAAAAAGCTGCAGCAAAGAGGTGAAAAGTTCCTTTTTTTCTCAATCTTTCTTTCTTTCTCTCTCTCAACTTGGATGATTTCATGAAAGCACTGAAGACAAATAGAAACAAGATATTTTCTTTACTCTCTCTCTCTCTCCCTCTCTCTCTCTGTTTCTTTTTATATCTCAGCTTGAAACCACTTTTCAAATAATCTCAAGAATTTACAAGACACCTCTACTTTTCAACCAATTTTAAGAATTTACAAGAAACCACTTTTCAACTAATCTCAAGAATTTACATGACACCTCTACTTTTTAACCATTTGTGGAAAAGTACCTGACTGACTATTCACTACACGTAGATGAGCATAATATTTTGAATCACATTTATACATGAAGAATGGTGGGAACTGTATACCGCTGTCTTGCCGCACACTGGGTATTGTCCACTCCTACAAGTCCATGCTGGAATGTCGCTTCATGTGGAGGGCCAGATGGTCACTTCGCGAGAAGCATTTTGTGCAGAAGCGACATTGAAAGGGTTTGGCACCGGTATGTTTTCTGTAGTGACGGGTGAGCTCATCAGACCTGGCGAACCGCCACTCACAGCCTTCCCAGGTGCACTTGTAAGGTTTCTCACCTGCAGAAAGAGAATTAGCAGTCTTGTCATTCATATTATTACATCTGTCTTTGAGCCTGCGATCGAAACCCACTGCTAGCAGCGTGGATTATTATCATGGTATGGGGCGTCACAGGTCGACCCAGCCTAAAATAGGTACCAGGATGACTGTCTTGGGAAAGTAAAGACGGCCGGCGTAATGCTGACCACATTACCCACCCAGTGCTGATTGGTCTGTAAAAATATGGGACGCTCTTCCCATATGCCCGATGCTCCTAAGGCGTGAAAAGGGATCTTTAATTTACTTTACTTTACTTTGAGCCTAGCGGTATATGTGGCTTATGGGTTATGAGCGCGATTCATATTTCAAAATATACCTGGTGGGATTCAGAGGCAGGTGATCTGGCAGCCGACTGTTTGGCATTGATTTTCACAGGAGCTTGGAGCACCGACCACAAAGTGGTAATGTCAAGCGATCTTTTCTTTGATGTCACCCCATCTCAGCGACTCGGAGATTTCGTGGGGAGTTCAGGAAAAAGTCCAATATAACTTGATGGGATGGGGGAGGGGGAGGGGGGAAGGGTTATCGTTAGTCAGTGTTCATTACACACTCTAAAACCCCTATACTACTGGACTTTCCCGGGAGCTACCCACAAAATCTCGAAGCCCCTGAGATGGGGTGAAATAAAAGAAGAGAACCTGGCAAACTACTCAATATTAATCTGTCTAGTTCAGCCATCAACAGCCAACAAATGTTGGGGTTGGTTAGTAACGTCCTGAAAAAGATATTGAATATTACCTTTTTTTTTAAAGTGTTTAGCGGGGTATAGAGTTTGTTTGTATTTTGTAAAATACTATGAAACATCGCCAACACAAACTCTAGCTTTGGAACATATTTTCTTGGAGGGGAAAAAGGGGAGGGGGGAGTGAGAACTTCCCACTGTTTAAGTGCGTAATTTTATAAATACACACACACACACACACACAAATCGCCTGCAGCTGGGATCGAATCCGGCATTACGATAAGCGTTCGCAACACCTAAGCCCCAGACGATACCATATATATATATATATATATATATATATATATATATATATATATATATATACACATACAAATATATATATATATATAAATATATATATACATACAAATACATATATATATATATATATATATATATATATATATATATATATATATATATATATATACATACAAATATATATATATATATATATATATATATATATATATATATATATATATGTATATATATATATATGCATGCTATATGGCAAACCGATCTTAACAAAATGCTTGAAATAAAATGAAATGTATAAACAGACTTAAAAGGAAAGCTTGTATGCATGGTTCGGGAGTGAGAGGCGTTTATTCCCCTTACAAATAGGGGGTGGGGGAGGGGGGCGCTCAAGGATCCAAGTGCCTTTGATTCCCTTTATACTAGTGTTATTTTTATATCTTAGATTAAAATTTTTTCTTTGAGGGTGGGTGGGGGAGGGAAGCCAACAAGGACAGACCCACCGCCCTCTAACAAGAATGCTTTTGTAAAAGGCGACGAATTAGGGGTTTGCAGAAACCGAATATGTTGCGCAGAAAGGCGCAGACATATATATCACAGCCTAGCTGTAAACCGCAACAGCCAGCCAGAGATTTTAAATGCCAGGGCAAATATAAAAGAATGACGATCCTCGCAGATTCCTGAATGGTAGGATTGAGACAAAGATTAAACGATCTTTTCGTCTCATTAGTTAGCGTCCTTTGTACCCTTTTCCCTGCGGCATGCAGGTAGGTGTGTTGGAAAACGAATAGGCAGACCGACTGAAGCGTGTTGGAAATCCACTGCAGCTAACCTTTATTACAGTAAAACTAAAGGACCCTTTTCCAGGCCTTTCAGGCGTTTTGGGTATATAGGCTAGACCTATATTTTATAGACTAAAAAGCCCTTGGTAGGTGATGTGGTCAGCATCACGCCGGCCGCCTTTACTTCCTGGGACTGGGCCTGGTACCCACAAAAAGTTGCTGGTCGATCTGGGAGCCAAAGTTATTTCTGAAAAAAAAATCCGGCCCTCGTCAGGAACCTTGACCTTCCGATCAACAGCCGAGCGTCTAGCCGCAAGATCACGACTGCTCCCCTCCTTTATTATAGAGAAAGCCACAAACATTGATTCAATGGTACAATCCAGGCAAGAAACAACTCACCTGTGTGTGTGCGTAAATGAGCTTTCAGGTGTGAACTTTTAGTATAGATCTTCTTACAACCACTGTATAAACATTTGTGTATGCGCCTTCGACTGTCTGGGCTGACCTCGACCTTTGCCCTCTGACCCGCTGGAACTTGGGGAGGTCGTTGGGCTACATATACAGAGTTCGTTCCTTGAACCAAGGCATTAGGGTGACCACATGGAATTTGGATACTGTGGTGGAGTGACTGTTGCTGACAATGCAAAGAACGCAGCTTCGCTGCTTGAATTAGTCTTTGGTGGTTATGGGAAATATCGGCGGAAAATGGGCGAATAGCGACAGTTTCTGTCCGTCCTGGCTGAGCCACTAGCTTAAGAGCAAAAGGATCGTTAGATTTGAGCTTCGTTGGGGACAAAGGAGGATCACTGTTGCTGCTATCCCATGAAACTCCGCTAGATGATGAGCTGAAGCTGCTGAGACTCAGTGTGTCCGAAAGTCTATCACTGATATTCAATTTAGCCAAAGCTTCTAACTTTTCATAACTCTCTCCTTCCTCTTCAGCGTCACTCTCATCATCGCAGTCATCTTCATCACAAATGTCCTGTAGTTCATCCGGGTCAATTTCAGAATCGGGAACTTCTGAATCGGTTAGTTCTGCACCACCAACAACGCCTAAAGACGAACATGAATTCTCATCATCGAGCAGACGCCTGAGATCTGTCCCTCCAGCAAAGCTGTTTGCTAAATCTGTGAGAGAACTTTCGATGTAGGTACTGTTGTTGATGTCCACTGAATTGTCATTGTTACTGTGCTGTTTCCCATCGTCACTGTCTTTGGCCAGCTTCTTGAATGATGTTAACTTGGGCTCGTTTTTCAGGTACCGTTCCATTTCAAGGCAATTCTGGGTGGATGAAAAAAAAAGCATATATACAAAACATGTTTATAAAAATACTGTAAAGAACACTTAAGCGAGGGAGCAAAATTTGAGCTCGATAGCTTACTAGGAATGGTGGATAATGGAACAATATTTTGACAAAGCATACAAACATATAAACAAAAAAAAAGAACCTAATACAAGTTTATAAAGAAAAAAGAAGAGCGACAGAGAGAAAGTGGGAGGGATAGAGAGATAGACAGATAGAGAGAGAGAGGGGGGGGGGGAGAGAGATGATATAACAATCTGAATTGAATAGGTTCACATAACTCCAGCTAACTCATCGGGGTGTTCGGTGTTAGTAGTGTGTGTAGGGGTTGAGGTGGACGCATTTTCTCTGTGTAATGCGTTGCGTAGTTGACCTCATATATCGCCTAGGTCAGCGGTTCGCAACCTGCCGGTCGCGACATTGTTTTCGTAGGTCGAACGACCCTTTTACAGGGGTCGCATAAGACCATCGGAAAACATATTTACTGAAGTTATGAAGGAAAATAATCGTTTAGGGGTCGCCCCAACATGAGGGAACTGTATTAAAGGGTCGCCCCAACATGAGGGAACTGAATTAAAGGGTCGCCCCAACATGAGGGAACTGTATTAAAGGGTCGCCCTAACATGAGGGAACTGTATTAAAGGGTCGCCCCAACATGAGAAAACTGTATTAAAGGGTCGCCCCAACATGAGGGAACTGTATTAAAGGGTCGCCCCAACATGAGGGAACTGAATTAAAGGGTCGCCCCAACATGAGGGAACTGTATTAAAGGGTCGCCCCAACATGAGGGAACTGAATTAAAGGGTCGCCCCAACATGAGGGAACTGAATTAAAGGGTCGCCCCAACATGAGGGAACTGTATTAAAGGGTCGCCCCAACATGAGGGAACTGAATTAAAGGGTCGCCCCAACATGAGGGAACTGTATTAAAGGGTCGCAGTATTAAGAAGACTGAGAGCCACTGTCCCAGGCTGTTACTGACGCAGTCGTTGTAAATTTGGCCTGGTCTTCCTCTTGCTCTGCCCTCACTGTACTTTCCCCAGCTAGTTTTCCATGGCTTTTTAGTATCTACTGAGTTAAGGAAATGAATGCGATGGTAAAGGGGGTGTCAGGAAGATAGGGCTGTGGAAAGGGGCGGGGGGGGGGGAGAGCAATCTGCAGACACCCATAATCTTAACCCCCCCCCCCACTCTTTTCCCTTTATGAATGGTGTTGAAGAATCGTATTTTCTAGAAAGAACTAAAGCGATCGATCGGAAACATGAGAAATAATTCAAATAATGACAACGATCACGTGGGACACTTAAATGCAGACATAACCTTCATTGCGATGTCAATTTGAAAGCTGACAACTTAAACATCAAGGTTAGCGCATGCGGACATCCTAGACAAGTGAGTTCTTGTCTTCGACAAATGCCAGACAAAGGCAGTCAGCCTCACCAATTACCTGGCGCTCGATAGCGCCTCGGCCCGGGACACTAAGTACCGTTGTTAGTCTTGTCAGGTACCAAGTGTTATGGTTGATTTTGCCAACAGGCAACAAACAACAAATATATTGTCAGCGATTGTGTCATAACATCGTCTTTGTAATAGTATCCAGTTCCAGCAGCATTTCGTCTGCTTCGTTTACCTATCATGTTTGGTACTAAAACTAGACCATTTCTTTTTCCCCCTCGACTTCAATGTATCGTTTTCGTTCTTTCTTTCTTTCTATCTTTCTTTCTATCTTTCTATCTTTCTATCTTTCTATCTTTCTATCTTTCTATCTATCTATCTTTCTTTCTTTCTTTCTTTCTTTCTTTCTTTCTTTCTTTCTTTCTTTCTTTCTTTCTTTCTTTCTTTCTTTCTTTCTTTCTTTCTTTCTTTCTTTCTTTCTTTCTTTCTTTCTTTCTTTCTTTCTTTCTTTCTTTCTTTCTTTCTTTCTTTCTTTCTTTCTTTCTTTCTTTCTTTCTTTCTTTCTTTCTTTCTTTCTTTCTTTCTTTCTTTCTTTCTTTCTTTCTTTCTTTCTTTCTTTCTGTCTTACCCTCCCCCTCCACCTCTCTCTTTCACTTTAGATTCCGCTCTCTTGTTCAGCTAAGAATCCACTGTCTCTTTCAGCCTAGTGCACAGTCTCTCTTTCAGTTTAGCACCCATTCTCTCGTCCAGCTTAGTGTCCATTCTCTCTTTCAGCTTACGGTCCACTCTCTCTTTCAGCTTAGCGTCCACTCTCTCTTTCAGCTTAGCGTCCACTCTTTCATCTAAGTGTCCACTCTCTCTTTCAGCTTAGTGTCCACTCTCTCTTTCAGCTTAGTGTCCACTCTCTCTTTCAGCTTAGCGTCCACTCTCTCGTTGAGCTTAGCGTCCACTCTCTCGTTGAGCTTAGCGTCCACTCTCTCGTTGAGCTTAGTGTCCACTCTCTCGTTGAGCTTAGCGTCCACTCTCTCGCTGAGCTTAGCGCCCACTCTCTCGTTGAGCTTAGTGTCCCTTCTCTCTTTCAGCTTAGTGTCCACTCTCTCTTTCAGCTTAGTGTCCACTCTCTCTTTCAGCTTAGCGTCCACTCTCTCGTTGAGCTTAGCGTCCACTCTCTCGTTGAGCTTAGCGTCCACTCTCTCGTTGAGCTTAGCGTCCACTCTCTCGTTGAGCTTAGTGTCCACTCTCTCGTTGAGCTTAGCGTCCACTCTCTCGCTGAGCTTAGCGCCCACTCTCTCGTTGAGCTTAGTGTCCCTTCTCTCTTTCAGCTTAGTGTCCACTCTCTCTTTCAGCTTAGTGTCCACTCTCTCTTTCAGCTTAGCGTCCACTCTCTCGTTGAGCTTAGCGTCCACTCTCTCGTTGAGCTTAGCGCCCATACTCTCGTTGAGCTTAGTGTCCCTTCTCTCTTTCAGCTTAGTGTCCACTCTCTCTTTCAGCTTAGTGTCCACTCTCTCTTTCAGCTTAGCGTCCACTCTCTCTTTCAGCTTAGTGTCCACTCTCTCTTTCAGCTTAGTGTCCACTCTCTCTTCCAGCTTAGCGTCCACTCTCTCTTTCAGCTTAGCGTCCACTCTCTCTTTCAGCTTAGTGTCCACTCTCTCTTTCAGCTTAGCGTCCACTCTCACTCTCATATATATATATATGTTTACATATATTTATATATATAAATATGTATATATATATATATATATGTGTGTGTGTGTATATATATATATATATATATATATATATATATATATATATATATATATATATATATATATATATGTAATGTTTCTACAGCCTCAAGTGTTCCCCTTTGCTTATTTATATTAATTTAAACTGTCGCTTTCCTCAGGCATTTCGTTTCACAAGTTTGGATTTCACATGTGAGTTTCTTACCAAAGTCTGGCCATTACTGCATTTGCTGTGTAGGCAGGAGGTCGTTTAGTGAAAGGATTCCCGGCTGTATGAGCAGCCCAGTCGCCATGTATTGTGCATATGGCGATGTTATTTTTGCCTCTGATAGGAAAACACAATAACAACAACAACAAACCCTTCACCTTATCCAGGATTCGCACTAGAATCTCCCGCGTGAGTGCCTAGCTTTCCTACCCGTGCGACCAGCCGCTTCTGGCACTGGTAGCGTTATGTTAGTATGAATATGCTGATATTAAGGAGGTTGCGCATCCTTTACACAAGTTGCAGAACCAACCCATAATTTTTGGCTGTTGTGGTTTTTATAGGCAAGTTTACGTCCAGTAGTTTGCCATTGCTTTCTGGACAGTCCGCTCTCAACACCACTGTGGAACCTAACGCTGCCACAGACGCTGACGTGTATAAACTATATAAATACGGAGTATGATGTATCTTTGATGTCTTCATAACGGTGCCATTTGGTACACTTGATTTCTGGTGCACCGTTATAGTGTGATATTCCGGCTAAAAACGGTCCAGCTAACGAATATTTCGGCGAACAAATATTTTTTCGTCCTCGGCCAACGAATCTTTTAGAGGATGCAAGCAGTAATAGAATTCGGCCGCGTTGTGGGCTGAATTTTCGCACTAACCATCTTAGAAAGTGCCACAAAAAGATTTCTTCTCATTCTAAATTATTGTGGAAAAGTAAAAAAAAAAAAAATAAACCTGGATCAGAAAAGGGACATGGAAGATAAAAAGAAGTTGGAGGATTAAAAAAACCCACACAAAACAAATGCCAACAGGTGACGTTAAAAACTAATGTATTAATTACTGCGAAGAGTTTTAGTCTGTGGCTGTAATTGTTTTGTTTCATTCTACTTTCAATTCTCCTGTATCCAATTAAGAAGTTCCTGGTGAGTTTATGACCTTTATTGTGGGTTTTAGATAATTTTATAAATGTTCACGCTTAAACTGTGGGCAGCACCAGAAAACATGAAACAAATCTTTTCATAAGCCATTGGAAAATCACGTTTCGGTTATTTCTTTCAGCTAACGAATGTGATTTTGGAATAAACTGCCTTCGTTAGACGAGGTATCAATGTATCTAGTTTCCGTGCCCAACTCGCTAGCGTTTTTAGCAAATCTGACTTCGTGACGACAGGGTGACGAACTCCTTGTTCACGCCCGGGGGTAGGCAGAAAAGCCAAATTTATCCCAGATTTACGGAATTTATCTTGGAATCAAGGCCAAAGGGTTGCGATATCCATAGTACCGAGCCAAAGGTTTAAGAACTCGTGGTTTCTATTAAAAAATAAAATATATAGTTTTCTTCACTCTCTGAATTCCACATTTTCTTAAATCTCTCAAATCCACATTTTCTTAATGATCTCAATTCCACATTTCCTTAATGATCTCAATTCCACATTTCCTTAATGATCTCAATTCCACCTTTCCTTAGTTTTCTCAATTCCACCTTTCCTTAGTTCTCTCAATTCCACATTTCTTTAGTTCTCTCAATTCCACGTTTCCTTAGTTCTCTCAATTCCACATTTCCCTAATTCTCTCAATTCCACGTTTCCTTAGTTCTCTCAATTCCACATTTCCTTAATTCTCTCAATTCCACATTTCCCTAAT